AATTCTAGCTAAAACATGTCTGTCTGTCTGTTTTCGACATAGAACTTTGCACATATGTGCACCAGTTCAAGTCGCCACACTCCCTCCATGTAGCACACAAAGCAAGAGAAGAATGCACAAGAAAAGCATAATAGAAACAGTGAGCAGAGGTGTGAGACAAAGGAGTAGTAATAACGAAGAACAATACAGTTTCATTGGAGATCATAAGTCACAAGGAGTGGATGCATCTGCGCCACTGAGAACGATTTTGAGCCATGTCACCAATTGTTTCCAACCATAGATTTTTACCGTCCCGAGGACCCCAGCTTGGAAGTCTACACCTTTCTACGTGGCTTAGACCAACTGTTGTGGATTTCATTGACTGGTGCCATGTTTTTGTTCAACCTCCACTAGCTCTTTTCCAGCCTGACCCTATATCCGCTAACATTGCTCGTCGAGGGAGGCGATGGCTTGGCATACGTAACACATGTCCTAACAATCTCAGTCTATGTAACTTCACAACCTCGTCGATTGATTTCCTCTCCTTACCTAGAACTCGACCGAGGCCAAACCTCAATATTGGTCACCTTATTATACCACATAGCACGGGAGGGAGTTAGAACGCAGGCACCTATGATCAAAGACAGCTAGTCTTTTCATGTCTTCCACTCTCAGTGGCCAGGCCTCGCTCACAGCCATAAAGGAGGACGGAGTGGACTGATGAGCAGTTCACCCGCCCTTTGGTCGATAGTCGAACATCTCGTCTACGCCAGAGTCGGCGTAAACTGGCAAATGCGAAACGAGCCCCCTGTATTCGTGCTGAGATTTCGTCAGAGATCAACCCGTTGGCGTTGGGGCTGATGGTACTTCCCGAATAAGTGAAGCGGTTAACGTGCTCTACCACTTAACTTCCTATTTCCAATCTAGGAGTCGGTGTAGTCCAGTCCCGTAACATCATCTTGCATTTGGCGGGAGCGAATCACATGCCAAACATTCATAGATTGCGGCTCAAGGTGTTCAGAAGACTCTGCATTTCGTCAGCGTCTTCGCCTAGAAGGACTATATCGTCTGCGTATTCCAAGTCAACGAGATTATTCCCTGGTGGTGACAAGTCAATCCCTGAGTCGCTGAAGTGAGTTAGGGTTAAGTCCATTAACACATCTATGATGAAGTTGAATAGAAAAGGAGATAATGGGCATCCTTGACGGACACCACTAGTCGTCACCAGTTCAGATGACAGCTCGCCGTAATCCCTCACCTGGCTGTATGAGTACGAGTAGAGTGATGGCCTTAATCAGTGCAATATATTTTCTCGGCATATAACATATAGCTTCGAAACTCAGTTTTTATAGTTTTCGGCCTTCTTTCCTATATTTGTCGTAAGGGTTGTAAGTAAAATTTCCCAGAGATCCAGGATGTTAAGGTCAAATAAGTGGGTTAAAGCAGTAGGCCGCAGTCAGGTGAACCAGGAGAAAACAAAAGCCAAGTGAAAACTAGATGAGTTGACCCTTCCTCGCCAGCCAATGTTAGCCGATATAGGGTCAAGGTTGGAAAACAGCCAGCCAGTGATGGTCAAACCAAAACATGACTTCATCAGTCAATCGAATCCACAACAGTTAGTTTTAGACAGTCACCTAGGAAAGTGTAGACTTCCTCACTGGTTGGGGTCCTCGGGACAGTTAGCACCAACGGCAAAGGTTGGAGACAATTAGTGATATGGCTAGCTAAAAATCGTTCTCAATGGCTGGTGTAGATGCATCCATTCCTTGTGACTTACAATTGCCAATAAAACTATATTGTTCTTCGATATTACTATTCTTTTTGCCTCACATCTCTCCTCACTGTCTCTATTTTGCGTTTCTCGTTTTACTTTCTTTTTCTTCTTCTTCTCTGACTTTGTATGTTGAGTGAAGTGTGGCGACTTGAACTGCTGCACATCAGTGCAAAGTTCTAATGCTGAAATCAGTAAGTCAGTGAGTTGATCCTAATAAGATGAGGAATTTAGTAAAAAAGAAAAGCTCAGATATAACAAACTTTGTACGCACTTACATACAAACACACGATAGGATGGGGCAAGATGAAAGTTTTAAAATCGAATACAAAGGCAGGGTGGAGGGACAGACTGATAACAGAAGTCTTATTTAATTGAATCAACTGAGCGTACATGTAATAGGATAGTCACTATTAAAAGAATTACCTGTTTATGATGGCCATGTCAGGGACAAGGTTTGGATGTATTTCTCTTAAATACATAGCGTGGGTTCGAGCTTTTGGATGGCTAGTGCCTCGGCTATGCTCATATATCTTGAATCTACTCCCTTTGATAGGTTTGATCGAATCTTGCATATGATTTTTAAGGGTTTTTCGAATGGCGTTGAATGTCCTGAGTTGACCAGGACCCTTGTCACTTCCATGGTCATCATAAGCAGGTAATTCTTTTAAAAGTGACTATCCCACTACCTTCCTTATCCGAACTTCCTGTTTATTCACGTTGCTTTTAAAAAATAGGAATGATTTAACACATGTACCGTGTATCTGGAAAATTATACTACTCATCAGGACAAGTGAGAAAGCACAAAGACAGCTATAAATAAAAACCGAGTTTCGAAGTTGTGCAACCACCATCAGTGAACTATCCTCGAAACTTCATCATTCAGTAAGTATAATGATACTGTTTCACAAACTCTAATGTGCAATTTCACTGTATAAATATCCGCTTTAATACTCGAAGACAGGGATTCAAGTGCACGTAGAGAAGACAGGCGACGAAGACACCCAGTCACCACCACCTACAACAACAACAACAACAACAACAAGGAAAAACAGATGGTCGGCATGAAAGAGGATATCGAAGCCAACCAGGAATGGAAAGGCAACACAGACTCTTACTACTCTAAATTCACTGTGGAATTCCACTGCACTCAGCATAAATAAACGGGATTCAGATTTTCAGCATTAATGTGAAATTACTTCTTCCATAGCGTCTAGTGTGCGTCGGTAGCCAGCAGTTTGGACACTCGCTGACCATGCACATGGTCCGGGGTTCAATCCTCGGTCGCCGACGCACTCCTTTACCTTGCTAAGCCAGAAATAAGACTGGTAAAGAGGAAAGGTTGGATATGAGACTAGCAACCCCATCCCGTAAAGAAAATAAACACCACTGCTACAGAAACTTCAAGCCACTAGCTTGAGGCCCTATGTTCCACTGGGGAACGTGAAGGGAAAAAAATAGCGTCTAGTAATTTGGTGAACGTGATACGCGAAGAATCCCCCCCTCCGAAAGGCTACTGCATACTTACATAAACATCCGCCTTCGCTTCATGTCTAAGGTGAGATGACTAGGAACGAGTAGCAAAAAGAGACTTGAGCAATGAATCAATCGGAATCATGTAGCTCAACAAACAAACAAGTGGGACAAAAGCTGAGGATGTTGTTGAGTGACATCACGCGCAAATCAGACCGTCGAGTGGAAGGCATATGGAAAACAACCGATTGGGCGTTAGTCCAAAAGTTACATGAGAAGGTTGAGCGAGGAGATGACAGTTTATGGGCAATCATGCAGCTAGCTAAATAGGACTGTAGAGAAGAGAATGAAATGCGTTTGTAGTGTTGAAGCCTAGTGTTCTACTTGAAATCTAATGGAAAGATAAATGTAATAAATTCACACTAATAACTAATTGCCTTCGTATATTTTATACAATCTTCAAAGGTTATTTCGACCGCTGTGCAGCAACATAAAAACAACTATCGATAAACAGATAAGCATATATTATTACCAGTAACTCATTTCATGATTTTTATTCGCCAAACAGGTTGTCAGTTACGTCTAAAGTTTGTGTATGTGTGTTGTGAAACGACAGGGACAGCTAGGACTTACTAAGTTCAAATAGCTCAGTGGTTACGTCTATTGACTACAGCGCTGAACAAACCAGGTTTATATCTCAGACGGGATATAAGTTTCATGAAGACTGCAGATGTACGCCTCGCAGACAAGTGTCAACACAAACACGATATCTGCGAAATACCTCCAATCATCTAAAAGCATTTCAGAATGCACCGCATTGGGGAGTCACTATAGTGATCACATGGCAAAGTTGAATGATAGAATTCAGTCTGCACGCATCATATTGACTACAGCCTAGTGGCCGATCAAATTACCTACTACATTCTTTGTTTGTTTAAACTGAAGTAAATAGTGGCAGTGTTTTGAACCTTAGAGGCTGAAACTTGAATGGTCAGATCAAATAGACTCATAAACAATTATCGTGAACTAGGAAGACAGCGCCAAAATAACTTTACGAGATAGCAGTCATACTGAAGATCTAAATATCCCTGATTCGATCCCAAGCTCTGACAAATGTATACAGGCGTCGGTGGTTCAACGGCAGAATACTCACCAACCACGCATGTAGTCCAAAGTTCAATTTCTGACAGCCGAACGCATTTCTAAACCTCACTTAACCCGTCAAAAAAGAAAGAAGAGTGTGGGAGTGAATCTGGAAACCTCACTCTGCACCAATGAAAAAAATCAGCAAGGAATACTCGACATAAGTTTCGTCCTAGTTTCAGACCCAAGACCCCATAATGGGTCGAACACAAGACTTTCCAGTTACAAGGCAAGCTCGTAGACCATCCACAACCAACTCATGAATTTTTTTTCTCGTTTATCAATCCGTATTTTTTAGAGCGATCACCAGCCGGTGTCATCGGTAGCGAGTATTCGTTCTCACTCCCTACCGAATGGATGGACCCCCTACTGGTAACAACTTCTCACTAGAAGTCCAAACAACATCCTCCTGCAGGAAGTCACCTAGAAAGCATCAGATTAATTTTCACGATTCAATTTCTAGGAATTTATTTTTTATCTTCAAGATTTTAATCACAGACTGATATCAGTTAGAGAACCATTGAAAAAGACACCACCAGTAGGGAGTACTGGACAGACACAGCTGTCTCGTCAGCTTATTTTGGGACTCATCAGCAACATGCACTCACTTCCAGGGTTCGAACCCAATTACGAGACGATCAAGACGAGACAAAATCAAATCCCTAAAAACCGCCTGCTGACAATAAACTAATTATGCTAAAAGGGGAGCAGATAAAAACCATATTTGAAAGACTTTACGGTCAAAATATTCACACTCAAACGCACACACACACACACAGAGGGAGAAATATTTTTCACGGGGAAAAAGACTGAGAAGAAGAACTACTTTTATTGATTTTCTTTATTAACATTATTCTTTCATACAAATCATAATAATAATAATCGATTGAAATTAAGATATAGAATACATAAACAATAAAAAAAACCTACAACGCAGAAATAACCCGCCTCCTCCTAGGTGAACACCATCCATCTTGAAAGGCACATGGAGTGGTTGATAATTAATAATATTAAGAACAACAGCAGTACAACAAACAAGAAAGTATGCAAGTTAGTTGGTTAGTTGGTTAGTAAGCAAGCAAGATACGCTTGAATACTATTCACCATTATTATCATCATCACAGAAACGAAAACTATTACATAAAAACAGCAACCCCAGTGTGTGTGTGTGTGTGAACAATAATAAGAGCTGAAAAAAGAAGCACCAACCACTAGTGTTCATGTGATTGTGAATCGATTGAGCGTATTTCCTATACATACATAAGACAGATAGATAGATAGATAGATAGATGAATATAAAATTACAAGAATACACATTGCACTTTTTTGAAAGGAAGTACAGAAGTACATGCACTGAACTGCCTATCAGACACATAAACACACATAGGCACAATGCACTAAACTCCTCCGGCTCTCTCTCTCTCTCTCTCTTCCTTCTTCGGCTTCAACAGAACGAAAAAGTTGTCATGTAGAAATAAATATGAAAATCAAAAAATGGGATACCACAAAATGTAGAGCAAAAGGAGAAGAAAAAACCAGAGTAAAACAAAAACAAAAAAAGAATTAATACAAATCTTCAAGATTGATTGGCGGTGGTCCAGCACGTTTCGTGTATCGACGATAACGTTTCAAGTCTGTATCTTCTGCTGCACGGATTCTATTGTGTTCTTCTTGTTCAACAAGATATTTCTATAAATAAATACAAATATATTTTATAGAAAAATTTCAGTTATAACATACTACGACTAATACTACTTTAATGACAGAAGACAAGAACCAGGAAACAGATCGTTTATTGAGAAATCAACAGATATTTATAAATTCTTATGTACATTATTGTCAGCGGAGAAGCACCGTCTTCTGATTTGTTGTTTCTTTTTTGCTGAAGGTTATTCTGTACTGCTTGTGACAGTTTCTCAGAAAGTTAAGCCATGCATCTGTGAATCTTATTTGCACACGCTAAGTTCCTCAAGGTTATGCTTTGTTATTGTTTTTCTCATGATCCCGATTTGGGACGCAACGCTGACGTAAATTGCTGCCTACAATTTCGGCTTGCAGTCAGCTCTTACTACACTACTACTATGGACAAGAATAGTAATATATCAATTGAGATTAAGGTGCATCGATGGCGCCAGCCAAGTGAGTGCTTCATGGTTCGATTCCCAGTAAACGGACACTCTCCTAAACTTCGCCTGCCCTGCAGGTAGTCAGCCCAGCTGGATGTGAGTGAATGAGGCTGCTAGCCTCATTCTCTCTAAAAACTAAACAACACTGTTACCACCAAGTGGGATTTTAAAGGTCAGGCTTAAAAATCCAGTTGACTGAATGAAACGAAATGCTCGGCCTCATATTGAGAACATGTCAGCTCTTTGTTCAGATACTTCAACCATGTCCGATTATTTAACTTGAAGTGAATTAGTGAATGATAACGAGCAGTGGAATTCAGCAAGATGAGCATTTCGTCCTATTTGGGACTACTTGTCAGCTGGATGTACTAGCCTCCCCCAGTGAGTGAGGTTGACATATCACTCTGAGGTCTAGCACTTCAATCCAATTAATCAACGGGATAGTTCAAAGTGAATTAAATAATTACTAATACCCGTTGTACAAAAAGTGGATCTCATAGTCTAGTGGTTAACCCTTTAGCGTTCAGAACTATGGTTACTGGGTTCGAGCCCCAGTGGGGACACCATCAATGACTCACTGGGGATTGCATGTACATCCAGATGACGAACCTCGAATACGACGAAATGCGCATTCCCCTGGATTCCACTGCCAATCGCCATCCAACAATTTAAGTCAGGCTTAAAGTCCCATATTTGATATTTATAAGATAAGGAAGACGCTAGTGTATCTACATTTTCGGCTGCACATTTGGCATAGAAAGTATGCTGTTTTCTTTGCAAAGATTTTATCCAATAAATCACTACTAATGAGTGAATACAGATAAGTTGAAAAACCTGAATCCCTATAATTTTTCACACAGAAAATATCCTTTGATCAAGCCACATGAAATGTATTGTTTTAAATGCCAATATTCCTGGAAAAAGTCTTTTCATGTAGCGGGATATATATAAGTTACACATATTGCTCAGACTGAAGTAGGTGAACGTGAATCTCAAACACTAGAATCCACTAACTGCTGAATGTCGAGTGCTTAAGACAATGGGCCAAGCTTCTCCACTTTGAAAAGCATTACGACTAGGGGACATGCAAACAGCATAAAATCCTCTTTGGACCTGAAACAATATATAACCTTAAGACCGAATACTATCCCATCAAGCATGACAGATCCAGCGACAATGTAAAGCCACAGAGAAACCGCCAGAGCATCTGATCGGCTGGATTTATCTTCATTTATTTTATTCCTTCACGTTCTAAGTGAAACACAGGGGATTCAAGTTACGGATTTGACGTTTCAGTAGAAATGGTTTAATCTTTATTGGGTGGAGTTGCTAGCCCCACGCCCAAACTTCCCTCTATACCGACCTTAATACTACTGGCTTAGCAAGATTTAGGAGTGCATTGGTCGGGGATCGAACCCCCTGACCACATTTGTAATTGCTGGGTGTTCTGTCTCTGAACCACCGACGCGACTTACAGGTGAAGTACCCAAAGTAAATGAAGGTAAAAAAAAAGAAATCTACATCTCGTCAAGACTTGTTCATTTCGTCAACTTTATTCGATAATTATCCCTGGAGGTTCACAACGTCTGATTAGATTTCAGTTTTAATTGAGAGGAACAACGTTCTAACTACTCCCCCGGTTACATGAATGTATGATTCCTCACTGTATGACGAATACATACGAATAATAAACACATCAACCTTTATCACAACTACCTTTGATTCTAAACCAAATTTGATATTTCTTTACTCTATACCTTAGGAACTAATCATCTCTCGGAGATTATCTCTTGTTAGTTGTAAGAAATAAATATATGTTCACAGAAGACGCTCATCCTTCGCTATCATCAAGTGACAGTTCATCATTCATCCTGTGGCGTGTACTACTGATATGACATTCATAGGCATAACGATATCTAATAGCGGAGAAGTAGAGTTGATGTAAAATAGAGCAAATAAACCAGCATTGAGGAAAAACATGCAGGACACGAAAAGAAGACAAAAAATAGCACAAAATACGAAGGGCGGAAGTAACACAATAACACGGAAGGTCTGTGCAAATGACGGTTTGCAGATAAGGTGTACATAATTTGCCAAACATTACTTTACCGAGTATCTCGTTTTCTACCGTTACAATCTTATCAGTGTAAATGGTAGTAAACAATGAATGAACAAGATAAGGCAATGCTGAAGAATCTACGAACATGTACATGTGTAACAACGGGCTACTCTCCCATCATCTCAGAGTAGAATTAAAATATATGAATTTGAATAAAGCAAAAACAACAGTGGTGGTTTGTGCAGAATAATATGGTACCATCATTGCTTATTTCGTTGACTTCTCATCAGCTGCCGCCGCTTACAGCCTAAATAAATTATGAGGTTTAAGTACAGAAACGTTTCAACATACTTGCAAATTTTACATGTTGTCAGTTGACAGAAATTTCCACAATTAGTGAACAGTGTTCAGAAAATTGCGCTTATATAGTTTTCACACAGGCAGTTCAAGTTAAAACATGTACCGAAAAGCCTACATCTCAAGGGAACAAACTCTTATAGTAGCGCTATTACCAGACATCTCCTCGACACGGGTCATGAGGTGGAAATCGAGAAATCCTTCAAAATTATCAATAGACAAAGGAGCTCTATTCTCCTCAAGTATGCCGAAGCAATTTCTATCAAACACTTGAAACCAGATTTATGTGTTCACAGAAAGAAGCAGTTAATAGTCTTTCCTTGCCTTGGTAACTGGATGTCTTTTTTCTCTCATCTGGTTACGTAATCTTTGTCTTTAACCTCACCCTCCCTTTTATAATCTGTAATTTTGCTTGTCTTTTATTTCTATGATTTGAGTTCAAATCAGTACATTGTTACCTAACTTATTAGTCACTATGCATCTAACACAAATCTCATCTTTATTATGCAACTGCCTTACCATTATATGCATACATTTATTTTGTTTTAACTTGAACTGCCTCTGTGAAAACTATACAAGCGCAATTTTCTGAGCACTGTTCACTAATTGTGGAAATTTCTGTCAACTGACAACATGTAAAATTTGCAAGTATGTTAAAACGTTTCTGTACTTAAACCTCATAATTATTTATTTAGGCTGTAAGCGGCGGCAGCTGATGAGAAGTCAACAAAATAAGCAATGATGGTACCATATTATTCTGCACAAACCACCACTGTTGTTCTTGCTTTATTCAAATTCATTAAGGGGAATAAATGCATAAAATATATGACATAGAAATGGAATTACGTGGCGTTACGTTTACCAGTGTACAATACTTCGGATCGAACTTTTCTGACTACTCCCTTTCAAGAGAAGAGAGTGAAAAATCTTGCTGCTACTACATCGCTATTCACCAGTATTACGACTTCACCATCAGACTAATTCACTTAGTGCATAGTGACGGGTACTGACAACGCTGGTGAACACTGAATAGTTTGTGTATTCAAACAGGTCTACATTCGCTGAGAGACAAGAAGACTATCGTTGCTTAATCGTACACTGGTCGGTAGGAGATTGGAGTAATACGATCAGAAGTAAAATTGTACATTATATCAACAATTGTAACTCTCTTTCGTTATCGGTGGAAGTGTGGTGAGAGCAGGCTGTTAGCCAATCGGTAGACATTAATTTACGTCAATGTCTGTGCCGCTAATATTGGCCGTGAGAAAATATGAACAAGACTGATTCAACAACCAATCACAGCAGACTTAACGTGGGCAAATACGATTTGTAGATATATGGCTTAACTTTCTGAGAAGCAGTAGAGAATAACCTTGAGCAAGAAACAACCAATCAGAGGACTGTGTTTGTCTGCTTGAATAAGCTATAACAATGTACATGAAATATATATAAATACGTGTTGATTTCCGTAATAAACGATCTGTTGCCTGGCCCTTGTCTTCTGTTGTTACAGAAGAATAAACAATCGTATTACCCTACCTTTTTCCGTTGTTAAACGTCGGTTACCGTGCATAGTATTCTGCATATTAGGCTTAGTCTTCTGAAACCAGCGATAAGTGCAGAATCTTTCCTGTCTAGATATTTAACAGTAACTACTTTCAGACTAACCACTGTCAAAGCGATCTTCCTAGCACAGGGGGATATTATGCCTAACGCAGGGTCCATAAAGTCGAAAAATTGAAAATTGGTGTATCGCTTCAAAATGACTCAGGAATGAGAGAAATTTGGTACTACAGCTTTTAATCATGGGTTTTTAAACTTGTTTAGGCTTTACAGCACCCATCTAGGCTGTTTTCCATACTAATCATAAATCATATAGTAACCATAGCAGAAACTATATAGACGACTTGAGCGTGAGTGATACCGTTCTCATAGCTCACTTATATGACTGTGGATGATTTTCTATGGTCTTGGTAGACGCATTGAGGCTATTCGTATGCTAAATTTGGTAGACAGGGATAGCAGTTTCATTCAGTTTGGTAGGTACTAGTTTTGTTTATAGGGGCGCCTCTGTCACTATAGTGTTTCTATACATGCTACTCTTGCCTATAATAAAGCGTTTGGCTAGTCTTGTATGCGAGATGGATCCTATTGGACCTGTTTAAGCAGTGCATAACTGATTAATGCGACCAATGGTCTCTGTAACTATGCTCGCATATGCATGATTATATGTACTAACAGTGTGAATGGTCCTACGGGAGAAACAGCTCTCGAGTGGTTGCGCCACAAGATGACTTCGCATGCTGGTCGCGTCATGCAAGAGGCAGGGGTAGGTGTGTTCAATTCTCCTGAAAACCAATACATAAATGACCGGTCAATAGGTTTGGTCATTATGTGAATAAACCCGTTGATCCTGCCAGTAGTCATATATACTTGCCTCGGGTATTAAGCCATGCATGTCTAAGTACAAAACACGTCAAAATGGTTGAACCCTCTAATGACTCATTAAATCAGCTATGGTTCCTTAGATCATATATACTACATGGATAATTGTAGTAATTATAGAGTTAATATACAATACAATTGTGTCCTGACCAGCAGGAGAACGAGTGCTAACATTAGAAAAGAACCATGTGACTTGTTACGTCACTGTGAAATGCACAGTAGGAGCTATCTCTGAATACAGTAACATGGATAATAAGAAATTCCTCATCGTTAATTATTATTCCCTTGGGTCCCAAATAGAACATTTGGCTTTAACAACATATCTCCACTTTTTTCTATTCTCTGCTGTCCTCTTCAGTTGGGTCCACGATTGTCAATAATCTCGCATCTCCTCCTCTCCACACGACCTCCTCCATGTCACCCTCGCACTGATGACCCACTCGTTGCTTCCTATTTGAGTTCCACTCGATTGACGGTCTGCATTACGCGTAATGTCGTTTGACGGTCTTATCAGCATGTGTCCAACTCACCCTCATTTTTTTCCTACATATCTTGATGTGATTTTGTTCTCTGAGCTGGATGGTTAGTTTGCGAAGCTTTCATCACCTTACTGGGTGACATCTTCAGCGCATACTTCAATCACTTGAAGTGAGCTTTTAGATTTCTCCACGAGTTTATTAATCATCTCTCCTGGTGACCACCCCGGACGTGATTGGTTGTCTTTGTGTGTTTTCACACCTTCTAGGTTACTTGTATTAGAACTGATTGTTTCTTTGACTTGAACTTTGACCCTTTGTGTGTGAGGTTTCTTTCTTATCGGTTGATAAATTTTGTCTATCTCGATGTGTCTATTGATTGATGATTCACTGGAATGCCAAGCTTCTAAAAATTCTCTAGCATTCTTGTTATTTCCTTTGTCTAATATTTGAACGTTGTCCCAGTTGAATTGATGTCCGTGGTTGTCTGTGTGTAGTGAAATGAGGGAGTGGATATCATGTCTTTTGACGGCTAGCTTATGATCGTGGATACAAAGACGAAGGGTCAAAGTTCAAGTCAAAGAAACAATCCGTTCCAATACAAGTAGCTGCCTAGAAGGTGTGAAAACACACACAAACAACCAATCACGTCCAAGGTGCTCACCAGGAGGGATGATTAATAAACTCGTGGAGAAATCTAAAAGCTCACTTCAAGTGATTGAAGTATGCGCTGAAGATGTCACCCAGTAAGGTGATGAAAGCTTCGCAAATCAAACATCCAGCTCAGAGAACAAAACCACATCAAAATCATCCACCTGAGCTACAAATCTTCTCTATCATATCCTACATATCTGTTGAGCGATAGATTCTTTGGTTGGTTCGTTCATAGCCAGAGTTTCTCGTTGCTAATTCTTTCTAGCCGGCCTTTTGATCTTCAGCATGGAGCTAGCGAAGGCAGATGTTTATAAAAGTTGCTAATTTGTTGGAAATCCTCATCATTACACGTCACTGATTAACAACAACAACAACCAAAAACTAGATTTCAAATTCATCAGGTGTATGCCACATCCACACACACACACACACGAACACACTCACCTGATAATTTTCTTTAATCCAAAGTTCTTTTGATAAATATTTTGCTTGTTGTTCAGCCCCCAAATAATCCCATTCTGTTTCATTCATTTTTAATCGTCGTCGAGTTATAAAAATTTGCGCTTCTTCATTATATGGTCTACGTAGTATCCAATAATTGATGACCCAATGAAGCATCCATCGTAGCCAGAGGAAACAAGTCCAAGGGAAAAATAACAGCCTAAAGAGGAGAACACGTTTTAAACTCGGTCGACAACAATCCCCTCTGATACATAAAAAGAAAAGAAAAGAAAAAAAGTAGAAATTTATTAAAGTAGTGCAAAGTTAAAAAGAATAGTAAAACTGGGTCTTCTGGTGAACATGTTCAATTTGACACGTAATTACCAATAAAAAAAGCAAAAATAAATAACATATAGAGCGTACGTAAACTTCGTTGACAGATTACATCAAGTGGGGACTTTAATGAGCATGAAACAGATATTTTATTTAACTTTGACACTATTCATCAACACTCAACAGGAAAACCAGATCATCAGTTGAGCTTTGAGGTACCTGAAATAGAAAGAGAATTTGCCAACTTACGCCATCTCTCGCTTAGTAGACGTGATATTCAGCTGGCTATTGATCAAACGCGGTGTGCACTGACTGCTCAGCACTTAGCTCCCACCTTCTCCTTTATGGCTGTGAAACATGGCCATTGAAAGTGGAAGACGTGAAAAGGCCGGCTAGCTGTCTTTTTTCATAGGTGCCGGAGTTATATCTACCTCCTGTGTTACATGGTATAATATAGTGGTAAGTAATATTGTGGTTAGGCTTTGGTCGAATGTTAAGTATGGCGTGGGTGGGGGGGGAATCTATCAATGCAGTTGTGAAGCAGTTGCATCGATTGAGATGGCTAGGACATATGTTACATATGCATGTGTCCAGCCTAGGCATCGCGTTTCTCAAAAACAGTCAATGCTAGCTGACATAGGATAGATCAAATTGGAAAAGAGCTAGTGGTGGTTAAACCACCTATGAAGTCTTCTGCTTGATTTGAGCAGTGTGAATTCTGTAGTTTGGTTTCTCGGGATGATGGTAAGAACCAATGAAGGCTGGAGACTTATATATGTGTAAAACTTGGGCACTATGGTAGTAAGTAATTCCATATTGGTTTGTTTATCAGATGTATCACACAGTGTAACCGTATTATTTACTGGAGGACAAGATTTCGAAGACAATTTATTGTGGTTCATAATCATCTCGTCAATTATAATCACACGACTTGAGTTTTATTGTTTTCTTTGTCCTCTCCTATTTGTCGTCGTTGGAGTGGTAGAACTTTCCAGATATCTGGGACAGGCGTATAATCATTCCTATTACATGTATTTGCAGTTGATTCGACAAACAAAGCTTCCGCTGTCACCAATCTCTCCTTCCACCCTGTCACATTAGATTATAAAACTGTCATCTTATCCCATCAGCCTACTGTATGGTTGTGTGTAATTCCATGTAGTGAGTACTATAGCTGAACTGTTCTCCATATTTCTTATCTTATTTGGGTCAACCAATCTAGAATTTGCAGATTTTTATGCTTCCCTAGTTTGACTGCACCTGTTCTACTACTTTGACCCACCTATGTATTTGACCTGACAATCATTGCAGGTAGGGTATTAGATAAGCTAAATTGTTTTGTTTTAAAGGCTCTACAGGATTGATCCTTTAACCGACAAAGCTTGTTTCTAATTGATTTTGTGGGTGGTTTGAATGCCAGTCACTTTTATTACTGTATTGGTAAGAATCCTCTGTAAAGTGGTTTCCGAGGTTCCTTCCTTCCTTGTATGGAATTACTACTGATGATTTAGATTCCTTATTGTTGATGTTGTCATTATCTTGCGCATGCCCGACATACATGTCAGCATTATTATTAATATTATTATTTCCTTTTTGAATCTCTCTTTGCCCTCTTCTCTTACTTTGTGTGCTACATGTAGAGTCTATGGAGCTTCAAACTACTGCACATCTGTCCAAAGTTCTGTGCTGAAACCAGTCAGTCAGTCTGTCTGTTTTCGACATAGAACTTTGCACATATGTGCGGAAGTTCAAGTCGCCACACTCCGTGTAGCGCGCGAAGCAAGAGAAGAAAGTACAAGAAAAGCGTAATAGAAACAGTGAGCAGAGGTGTGAGACAAAGGAATAGTAGTAACGAAGAACAAAACAGTTTCATTGGAAATCATAAGTCACAAGGAGTGGATGCATCTGCGCTGTCACTGAGAACGAGGAATTTGAGCCATGTCACCAATTGTTTCCAACCATTGGTTTCTACCGTCTCGAGGACCCCAGCCTGGAAGTGTACACCTTCCTAGGTGGCTTAGACCAACTGTTGTGGATTTCATTGACCCTACTGAAAGCTGCTACCTTGACGTGGTGGTCGGGCTTGAACACCGCAATGATCTATTCAAGCTATACTGGCTGAGACTTATGTCTCTTGAGGTCCTACCATGCCAGGCAGGTTGTTTGGATAACGGTTAAACAAAAAGCAGCTACCCTATCCAACATCATGATCAATACAATATCACAAAATTTCATGCTGGATCGGCCGTGGCCCGGATTAACAACGACCGCGCTTCCTGCTGCCGTGTCACAGTGCAGGAGTGATAAGTAAGTCAGTCAGTCAGTCATTCAGTTGGGCATACCATCATTCAAACATTCAATGATTTAAAATTGAAAAAAAATATGTTTACAAGTTGCAAATATTCCCACTACATGTTACATCATCTCATTTTCAACATGTTAAGTTTCGACCTAGTAATCAATGCAGAAGTCCATACGACGGAAATGGTCATGACTGACTAACTGATTTTCAACAGAGAACTTTGCACAGATAAGCAGCAGCAGCAGCAGTTCAAGCCGCCAAACTCCATGGATTAACACGAAAAGGTAGGCAAAAAAGGCAACAAAAAATGGAGAGATTCAAATCTACTGAAGGAAGAATAGTACACATGAACGAAGACGACGATCTAGCGGAGATATATGAAGGATTACAAAGACTGAATGCATCTGCACCACTGAGAACGATTTTGAACCATATCTCATCAGCACTCTCCAATCATTCACTCTTATCATCCTGATGACTCCAACCAGACAGAGTACACTGTCCTCACCCCCAAACTTCATATCATGAACCAACTGTCAAACATTTCATGGACCTTAAGTTCTTAAACTTTTCTAAAAAAAAAAGGTTAGTGAAAGTTGAATAAAGGAGTTAACCTTTATCATATGGTTGATGATGGGCATCAGTTATTCAGTGATGATAGTATCTTCACCAGTCACACAGGGGAGATCCAACTTCGACTCCCGGTAGACGCTTGGTCTACTTACTATTGACTAGGAAATCTAGAAGATAAGGAAGGAAGGTGTGAGGCTAGCAACAACAAAATGTAAAAATGATGCCACAGGTAATGAAACTTCAGAGGTAAAACCTGAAGCTTTATGTTCCACTCGTAAAGAAAGGAAGGAATGAGAAAAACTTGGTTGACGGGAGTAGATTTCATCCTTTTTATGACTCATCGTCAAGGCAGCAGAACCAGACAGAATTCCTCCTAAAATACCAGAAACGGACGCAGAGACTGCAGCGGATATGCCGACGCTGTTATTATTTTAGAAAGTTTGGAAGGAAGAAAAGCTACCCACTCTCGTTGATGAGAAACTTTTGGGCCCATGTCACGAGCACAACATTACTAGTGGGCCACTGTAGACGTTTATCAACAACTTCGCAATTCACTGGCTGCATATTGAGGATCAGCTGGCCGGCAAAAAGAAAGAATTAGCAACGAGAAACTCTGGCTGGGAATGAACCAACCAACAACCTACTGGTCAACAAATATGTAGGAGAAAATGAAGATAAATTGGGTACACGCTGAGGAGACCGTCAAATGATGACATCTCACGCCATGTCATCGCCTGAGTGGAATTCGAATGGGAAAGGACTACTAGAGCATGTCCAAGGGTGATATGGAGCAGGTCTTGAGAGCAGGAGATCTGAGACTATGGATTGTCATGGGCACAGCTAAAGAGTACCCGCATAGAATAGGAAAAAGTGAAGATATACTGTTGAAGCTCTATGTTCTACTCGGCACCGAAGAGAACAATATAATTACAATCTGGGTGTAAATTCTGCAATCTCAGTGATTAATGATATCCCCAGTGAAATTGGAAGTCAACACCCATTGTTTCATACGCCATAGAAGAGTTATACACTAGACTACCTTAGGCCAGAAGGCCTCTCTGTGTTTAGAATTTACGTCTTCAGACACTACTAATTGTAGTGGTCAGTATAACTTCATTTCTCTGTACATTTTTATGTTCTTAGGTTTTATTAGTATTAAATATGAATATTAGTTCATATACAGCTACTTTGACAGTAAATAAAATTGACCACTCATGTTATTTATTACACATTGAAATTGACGTCATTCAGTACACTTTTATGTGACATGATGAAATAAGCGCTTTGATTGGTTAGGACTAATTTTCAGTGTCAGGCCTATTATTACTAATCAGTCATTCCAAGTTTAATCACGGATTTTTATCTATTTATTTATTTAAACACCGAAAACTTGGTACAATATGGCACTAAGAAGATGCACCACACAATCATAATTAATGTATTAAAAGTGAAAATTTAGGTGAAGAACGGATAAAGAACTTCATCTGGAGGGAAAACAGTCATGCTTAACAAGTTCAAACAGTATTCGTCAACTATCATCGGGAAGGGAAGTAAGAAGGAAATTGCAACGCGTTCGCCATTGATAACGATTCTTGACCACATCCAATAACGCTTTGAGCCATCGATTCGAGCTATCACACGGACTCCAACCAGGGAGTCGTGACACACCAACCGATGCTAATCTAGCACAAAAATCCTTCATCCCACAACGCCACGTCATGGACTGACCGCCTCTCCGCCTTTTCCATCCCGTCCCAGGGCTGGCTAGCGAACAGAGACCTGTATGGAAGCCTCTGGAGTGACATTCAGAGCGGGTGTTTCCAGATGACGACACTCAATGAATGGTGATCTCCACTGTGTTCAAACACACGCCGCCGAACCTCAGAATTACTCACGCGATGATGCCATCAAACGCAAGGAATCCTGCGGAGACAGCGATCATCGAACACGCAGAGTCGCCGCCGCACATCCTCAACTCGGAGAGACCTGGTTTCACAGGCGTAGAGCAAGGCAGCCCGCACCGAAGCATTGTATACCCGACCTTTGACAGTCAGACT